TATATTATATATATATTATATATATATGTGTAAAAAAAAAAAAAAAACATGTACGCGTATACTGGTTTTTGGGCACGTACGCGTACGCACGCATACGTACGCGTGCGGTGGTGCTACCCAGTTATATAGGAAATTTGAAAGTAAGATTGAATGTGTGCATGTTGTTTTTGTTAAACTGTCTATTTCTACTTCATTTATTTCGACTTCAACACCTACTTCAACATTTACTTTATCGTTTACTTTGGCTTCTACTTCATCATCATCAAATTTTTAATCCAAATCTGGTCATATTATTCCAACCAATCTCGAACAAGTATTTGAAAGTGCTTGCGAAGCTGTGAGGTTTGTCATAATGCACTGTCAAACAAAAGATCGAGATCTCACAAGACAATCAACCTCTTAAGGGTTATGAGGGATCAACAAAACATGCACAACTGCTAAGGGAGATCGAGGGGCTGCTTGATAAGGGGTGGAGTGCACATAGTGAGTCTTGAATATGGAACTCAAAATTATTTATACCACAAAAAAATAAGCAACTCCGAACCTGCATTGATTACTGAGGACTAAATAAAAGCAGAAAAATGAACGTTTATCCTCTACCTCGAATTGATAACCTTTTTTATGTGGCTATAAACCGTTAAGTGTTCTCCAAAATGAATCTCAATATTGGGTGCCACTAGATTGAAGTCGATCCTGTAAACCAATACAAGACTATATTCAAGACGAGGAATGTGTTGTACAAATTCTTCGTTACACCTTTGACCTCATGAATGCACCCGCCACATTTCAAAATTTGATGGACTGAATTTTTAAAACTCAGCTTAACAAGTTTATAGTTGCTTACCATATTGATTTTTAAGAAGCTCATGGAGGAATATGAACACCATTCCAGATATCTTGCCAGAAAAGACATTGCACCTGAACTTGGACGGATCTGAGTTTGAGAAAGATAATGTCATTTATCTTTGGCACATTATCTCTCCTGTTGGCCATGAGCCAGACATAGCGAATATGGAGGTCATCACTTCATAGCCTTTACTTGTAAATGTATGTGATCTGCAGTCATTCTTAGGTCTAGCATCATAACTTTGTCCTAAATTTTTCATTGATAGCCTGACCATTGAGTACAATGACAAACAAAAATATGTGCTTTTTACGGAATGAGAAATGTGAGATTGTGTTTCCAAAGTCAAAGTCTGTATTGGTGAGTTATCTTATCCTTCACATTGTTGATCCTCATTTACTTGTTGTGATCGTCGATCCATGCCGGTTTGACATTAGTGTTGTTTCATTGCAAGGTACTGGGACTGGATGACTCTAGTTGAGTACATGAGTAGAAAGTTGAACACCCAGAAGTCATCAGCTCTACTTACAAACATGAACTCTTTGCAGTAAAAAAAAAAAATTGTAGTAGTGTAACATTACCCCCTTGACCGACACTTAAAGAGGGTATTGAGATCATCAAACTTTATAGTGGATAAAGACCCAGCCTAAACTTAACACAATGCTCAATGGTGCCAAAAGATCGTTGTGTGAGACTTTGAGGTAAAGCACAAGAAGACTATTAAAATCGTGTTGTGTTGATTCTTTATCTCGTCATTCTAGATACATGAACTTCATTATTAAGTCCTTGTTCATTTTATATTCGATCATTCTGAATATACGAATGTCATTGTTAAGTCTTTGGATATTTTCTCAGTCCATGCAAGTCTAAAATAGAAGCAACCCCAAAAAAGTTACTTTTGGGCCTATCTTTATGTAATTGTTGGTTGATCAAGTTTCTAGCCTGATTTTCACATTCAAGACGGTAAGTTGCTCTGCATACATATGATACCTGATCTGTTGTGTGTGTCTGATTATGAGGCATTTTTTACTCTTACATTTTCGGTGAATGTCACCACAACTGTAGTCACTTTGATTTTTTTTAAACATACGCGAGTTTGTTGCACCAATTTTATTAGCTTGGTATGAAAAAATTTGTGCGTAAGTTTGTGAAAAGCTGTCAAGTCTGGTAAAGGCACAAAATCTGCCGGTAGCAACCCCTTAGTTTGCTCCAACCCCTTCTATCCCCGAAGACCCTGGTGAATGTATCTCAATTGACTTCACCAACATGAGCAATGAAAGTAGAAATAGATGTTAGGCTTTTAGCCGATCATGACCAGTGTCAATAGGTTTTCTAAGTTTGTTACTTTGATTCTTTCATGTGGTGGACCCACCAGGTGTGGTGCTCCGCCAAAGATGGAGATGGAGGAAGAAGAGGGAGCGAGATGGCACAACACAACTCCCACGCCAAACTCCAGCGCACGTACTCCACACTGTGCGAATGTAGAATGAATACCGAAAACAGACAACAACTGGGGTATACCCCAGCGGACTGACGGGACTGGACTGACTGGTACCGATAGAGGTACCGGCCTGGACTGGAATGCCCCGAATAGAACACAGGTCTGTGAGAGCAGGCCAAGGGGCTCACAGGCCAACCAGAGGTCCGCTACACGATCCTCGTCATGTGATGGATGACCTAGATACAAGCACGCTTCCGCCAAGAAGCGAAACTCTACCAAAGAAAAAAGAAAACCCGAGTAGTCTAGGATGCGGAGCAAGCTCCATGCTGAGTCCATGCGATGCAACCTAGGATAGAAAATGTCACAAACAGCAATGCCACAGCTAACAGCCTAAGTGAAAGCATATGCAACTAACTAGCATACATGTCATAGGAAAGCAGAAAGTAACGACAACTAGATCCTAGAATGTTGGAGACAGTAGCCTCAGTCTGGAAAAAGTTGACTAGTGTATAAGTCCTAAGAACAGCAAAAGCAAAACAACTAAATCCTAGAAATGTCAGAGGCAGTAGCCTCAGTCTGAGAGCAACAAGCAACAACAAGTCAATCATATGTCACAGGAGAAGTGTGTCGCAAACCAAAGGGTGGGATGGTCTCTGAGGGTGGCGAATGCAGCCTAGGGGTCGAAAACTCCTAAGGGCATCCACACATAGTGACAGGGGGAACACATGTCGTCAGGCTCAATAAGGGTAGGGAACTGGGAGCGAACAGAACCAATGACCCTAACAGATAGACCATCAAGGCGGGTAATGCTCGACTAAAGGGRTGACTGCTATGGAGGGTCGACCATGCAAGGGAACAAGGGAGCCTGGTATACTGGGCACACCTAGATGAAGCATGCAAGGCTGCCTAACTAGGGCGTGAGGGCCGGCAAAGGGTAGAAAGGTGATGGGTAAGGGAATCATGCAAATGACTTCTAAAATGAGGGAAGTCGGAGCTAGATCCGTAAGATGGGAAGCCAGGGCAACGCTACGGTCCCGATGCCTATGCGTATACCAAGGGAGAGCCCAACTCAGAGGAACCCGACTAAAGAGAGACCATCATGCGGCACAACAAGGGTACTGTATAAGGTAAAGTGGTAAGAGAGTGACGACGTCTGAAGTAGGCAGAGCTGATCGTGACGAAGTCCATGAAGCTGCCGATGACGTCCATGATGAGAAGTCTGGAATGCCGTCGAGGAAGAGTCGCAACGTCGACGAGCTGAAGTAGCAAAACTGATCATTCGATCAGCAGACTGATCATTAGATTGCGTGTGTAATCCTACTTCCTCTCCCTTAAAAAAAAAAAAAGGGACGGAGATTGCGTGAGTTCATTGAGCCGGCGCTTCATTTCTTCGACCTCGGGGACGGAGAGTTGGTACAGAGGGTGACAAGGAGGAGAATGGTCGGGCTCGAGATCAATGGTGTGGGATACACCTCGATCGGGAGGTAAACCGGCGGGCAAAAACTCAGGGAAGACGTCCTTGAATTCAGAGAGGAGAGCGGTGATGTGAGGATTGGACGGGGGGTCTTGGTCGGGTTTGTCCGTTGGAAGCAAGTCCTCGGGACGCTCGTGGTCAATAACAAGACAATAGTAAGCGGAGTTTGAGTGTTCACGAGACATATGAAGGAATTGGTGAGGGGAGACAGGGGGTGGGGTAGAAAGGGGAAGAAGGTAAGGGATATCAAGAGGAGAGTCAGGAGGGCGGGTGAGTCGGACGAGGTCAGGAGGGGTGGAAGGAGTATGGCATAAAACGGTCAAGCCACGAAGTCTTCAGGACGATATCGCACATGAGGTGCATGACATCGAAGGAGACCTGACTGCGAAGAGGGCCGACAATCATGAGGGTCTCGGGGATAGTGCGATCGACAACGATGGTCGAGTCCTTATCCCCTAGTCGGATGGTGATCGGGGAGTCATAGCCGGTGGAAGAGAGGCCGACTTTGCAGACACAGGCTTCAGTGATGAAGTTGTCGGTGACACCAATATCAAGGAGGGCCCGAAACTTCACCGTTGATGCGCCAAGGGATACGGCGATAAACTTGAGTTGGTATCGTGCGGTTTCGGCACAAGCAGAAGAGATAATGGTGTTAAGGTGGCGTTGTTCCAAACCTAATCTAACAAGCCGATCGTGTCGTGCTTGTTCCTCAACGAGATCAAAGAAGGTGGTGGAGGAGGGGTTAGGGATGAGAGTAAAAGAGCAGGTGCTACTGGGAAGCTCGACCGACGGGATAGCACACGTCGTCGGGAGGGGGGCAGGTTGAGTAGACTTGTTGTCGTCAAGGAGGTAGTTGGGGGGAAGTTGTGGCATTCCAGGGTAAACCCCGTAGGTAACTTGGGAGGTGGGAATGGTGGAGGTCGTCATGATGGGTTGTGAGATAGTATGGGAGTGCGGGGGGGTAAGAGGGGTGATGTGGTTAGGTGAGGAATGAGGCGGTGTGCTGAAAGCGCTAGATGAGGGGGGGAGAAGGGTGGAGGAGGCAAAGGTGGTGAATGTGGTGGTAGAGGTAGTAGGAGTGGAGGAGATCGACGGGGGGGTGTGGCTGGAGGCAGCTGTGGACGTGGGGGTGGTGGTGGTAACCACCTGGATGAAGGGGGTAGTGGTCTGGGACTCGAGGGCGGTGGATGTGGGCACGGTCGTAGAGGTGGGTGTCAAGGTCGTGACCACTGTGATTGCCGGGGTTTGCTGCTCGATAGAGGTCACGCAGTTGGATAGGTTTTGGTGATGGACGCGCGGATGTCCGTTTGGAAAGAGGACAACATGCGAATGAGGGTGGCGATATCGGTGGCAACAGGCTCTGATCTTTGTTCACCCGTAAGTTCGCAAGCGAGGCTATCAACATACTGGGTGTTGACAGCGGTCATATCGATGCTGGAGGATTGGGCCATGTTGGGGGAAGATGGAGTGGATGCGGCGGCAGCGGTGGATGAAGCGATGACTGCAAATGAGGTGGAGGCAGATGCGGCGACAGTAGCGGTCGCTGTGGCAGCAGCGGCGACGACCACGCGTTGAGAGTTCTTGGTGTTGCGTGCTGGCATGTGGAGATTCGGGGGGGGGAAGGGCAAGGGGGGGAGTTTCTGATTTATTTATCAATAAATAAAGATAATTGCCAAGATTTTCCAAAGAAGAAAAAAATAAAAATAAAATAAAATCGAATTTACAAAATGTCGAAAAAGAATTTAAATAATCAGAACATATTTTCGAATTCAAGGAGGAGGAAGATTTTTTGGAAAAAGAAAAGATAAAAGGAATTTGGGGATTTATGTGAAGGCAGGGTGTGGGAATTAATGTAATTCGGCAAAAAATGCCCGCGATAAATCAATTCGAGAAAATTAAAATTTTTGAATGGAATTGGGAAATAAATGAGATTTAAGATGAATATTTTACAAAAAAAATAAATAATAATAATTAAATTTCGAAATTCAAGATTTCCAAAATAATTAATTTTAACAAATTTAAAAATAAAAATAAAAATGACTTTTTAAAAATATTTAAATAAATTAAATATTTATTTGAATTAAAAATTAATTTCAAGGATTAAATGCAAATTAAAATTATTCATATTTAATGAATGGGTTTAATATCAATGTAATTTAAGGGATTTTAATAAATTTGAAACAAATTTAAACCGACTGTAATTAATTTCAACATTTTTTTATTTTTTATTTATTTTTTTTATTTTTTGGAAGAATTGGATCATTTCATTGCAAACGAAGAGGAGGCCGGGAATACCTCACAAACAACCCGGAAGAACTGAGGCCATTACTCAGCTTCGGCTTGTGCTGGAAACCGGGTCCAGCGTCCCTTTTCCTAACTCGTTCTACAAACATCTTCCAAAAAAATTAACACTGACAACTTGACAAGAATGCTACAACTTGAACCCTAAACCACAAACCATAGAAAGCGAGACTGAAGCGTTGGCAAACCGTTATCAAGACTCCAACCCGAGATGCAATCCAGAAGACCACCCCTTTCCAGGAGGCCGGGAACAGTCGAGTAACAGCTAAATTAACTCACTCACACTGACCCCTCACCTTTGTCAGAGCTGCCCTCATATCCTTACCATCCAAAAATAGTGTGAAAAGCCTGAGCTGCCAAGACGAGTTTCCCACCACGCAACCTTGGATCTTCGTTGTATAGCGATCACAATGGGTGCAACTCAAGTTTGCTCTTCACCGGGTCTCTCTTACCACCTAGCCAGTAGCGTTCCCATCGCCCCTTCATACACTCTCACTCATGAAGATGGCGCCGCTGCTAGTAGTTCCATGATTTTTACTCTGAACTCACACTGACCCCTCACCTTTGTCAGAGCTGCCCTCATATCCTTACCATCCAAAAATACTGTGAAAAGCCTGAGCTGCCATGACGGGTTTCCCACCAYGCACCCTTGGATCTTCGTTGTATAGCGATCACAATGGGTGCAACTCAAGTTTGCTCTTCACTGGGTCTCTCTTACCACCTAGCCAGTAGCGTTCCCACCGCCCCTTCATRCACTCTCACTGATCAAGATGGCGCCGCTGCTAGTAGTTCCATGGACTTTGCTCTGAACCATAATCWAAATACCCCGCTCTCTCCATCGTATTCCATTGTACCAACCTTCTCGGACCAAGATGTCTAGACGACGCAGCACAAGGAGACCAAATTATTGTATCTATTTTAATTTGCCAAAACTATCAACCATACTACCAGAAGCAAGCAATGATAAGCTATAA